TGAGTTACGAAACTCTTCATGAAGCATCGAAACCTTATTTTAACCTCCATTCCAGTGGTCACTCTCATGTAGGTTTATCCCGAATTCTTTTACACTTTTTTCAGATGGCAATATTTTTGAATAGAAAGAGAGATTTTATTTGTTCAAAAGATCACTTGAAATAATTAATTTAAACATAATTTTTGACATAAAAATAAATAAAATTATAGATACAGAAAGATAGTAAAATATTTGTATATTGTATTATATGCTTAAAGAAAGCCGAGAAAACGTATGGATTTGTGCTGTTTGAAACTTACTTTTACCTTTTTGGAAACCAAATATATTTGTAAACAATTCTGCAAGACTGCATAACTGTCAAAAGTTTAAAACATAGTTGTTAATTTTCGAATTAATTCAGAGAAACAAATCTGTGTAAGGCCTTTTAAGAGCAACATGAAATCTAAAAAAATTATCGTTCCGAATCGTCACCCCTTATCGCAGATAATCGTATGTACTGGCATATTTATCGGATTCCCCCACATACCATGTATTCCGCTGCCACTGCTGATTATGTGCCATTAAAATTGGCTGCCAATTGGCAAAAGTTTTTTTCATTCTGCATTCTACATTCCCGCTTTCTCCAGTTTTTCACTTCTCCTCGACGTCGGCCTTTTGTTTTTTGTCCTGAAGCTTTGCCCTTTGCCGCGGTTCAAAGTTCAATGCATTTCGCTTGCGACACGCACATACTCGCACACAAACACACTCACATGTCGATGTGCCACGCCCCCTGCGCCCACAATCCCAGTACACCTGACCAGCGTTGTTATTGTGGCATTTTTAACGCTCAAATTGGACTTTTTCAACTCAAGTACACAACTTGCTAAATACAAAAACTTCGAAAGTTTAAATTTACTACTTCTCTTCTTTTACTTTTTTAATCGTAAAAAATGCTACAATCTCATTAAAAAAATACATTGTTTTTTACTTTATTACAATTTTTAATACCTATAAACTGAATATCATAAAAATGCATCTAAATTTGAGAATGTTATAACTTCAGTTAAACGTTTGCAACGCAGTTAAAAAAAACATTTCCGACACTCAAAAATACTTAAAATAGTATCGAATGGAAAAATGTATAGATAACTTTAGTTATGAATAACTTCATGTCTTAGAATTTATAGTATTTAGTGCTGATATGGTCGTTTTATATAGTAATATAATTTTTTTAACCTTTTTTTTAAATTTAATATCTTATAAATATAAGAATTTTTCAACTTTTTCTTCCTTTTATTTTTATTTAAACAAAATTGGCAGCACTGCACCTGACAGTCACACATTCCCCAAACGCCGAGGCGTCGAAAAATCCTAAACGCAACTTTGTCAGACTTTTATGGGGGAATGTGGAGGGTGATGAGTTGGGGTCTGCGTTCTTTGGGGCTTGAGTTAAGGTTTAAGTTTGGATTGGGGAGAGTGTTCCTGTCAGCCATCAGGCGGAGAAATGAAATATGCGCGACTTCTACGGGCCAACTAAATGAACTCTGAACTTTATGCGAAATTTCACCTCATGGCATGTATGTGACCAGAGGTGTGTGTGTGTGTGTACGCTGCGTGTTTTAAACTTTTGTTGCCTGGCAAAGTAAATTTGCATAAGGTTTTTAGTTAAGTGAGGCAGAAGGCATAAACATCAAGAAAAAATATCTCAAAGTATCAAATATTAAGCTTTTAAAAAAGCTATTTTACAGGTGCCGAAATCTTAAATAAATAAAACCAATTAGTATTATTCTATTAACCAGACTTGAACACTGTCATTAAACCTATTTGATTTTTTGCATTTTATTTTATATAATCAATATGTTTTTTTTGCAATATATAAAGTCGGTAACTAAGTATACTAACAAATTTGGTTTCTGAAAAAAAAATAATTTTCTTAATTACATTTGATTATCTATTGGAATTTAAAAACTTGCAATATAAAATTCTTTTTGGGAATTACTTTTTAATTTTTATCTATTATTTATTTGTTTAACTTTATGTTTCTCACTTAAATGGTACTTTTCAAAAATATTTTACAGTGCAACCGTTATTCGTTAGCCTTTCAATTTTTCGGCTTGATATGTCAAAAATGCGTCACGAATGATGATATATGGAGCTGTGGTAACAGGGCAGGAGGGAATTGGTAAAGTAATGGGCCAAAAAGGGTAGGAAGTTCAGGGGAATTGGGCAAAAGTGGGACGTGTGTGTGATAGGAAGTGGCCAAAGCACCGGAAATTCCTCAACTTGATGCTGAATTTCCGAAGTGCAGCACACTCGCGAGGGTTAACAGTTGGCCCTGGAAATAACCCGAAAAGGACCGCTTAACTCCACAACACAAGTCTCGATAAGCGCATTAGAACATAAGAATATTTCAAAGATTTTTTGTACATATTTTTCGTGTGATTTTGGGTTTTTATGCTAACTTTTATTTGTCTAAAAACAATTAAGGAATGAAATCAGAATTTACCATATCAAGATGTTTGCTTAAATATTTAATTAAATTAATTTATCCTAAAAGTGGTACTTACTCCGCAAGGTCCTTGATGCAGTCCATCCTGTAGTCCGGTTCGGTATGATGGTATCGCCATATATCTCCTATGACCGCTCTCCAAACACAAACACATAGACACCCACATTCTGGAATGGGAAATTAAATAAATAATTTATTAAAAAAATCCTCGACTTAAGTTTGCATTTCACTTCGAATTGCGAAAGATTAGACGAAAATGCAGTGGCTCTTTCTTGCCCATCCATAATTGATAGCCAAATACTCCATCTTACTGATTATCCCTTCTTCTAACTTATTATTTATAATTCAGATTAACTTTTTTAATTTTAAGGAAATAATATTTAAATTGACTTACTGCACACGAGTTCATAATGATAGAGCTTGTACAGTTGAATTTTCTTATAGCTGGTCACCAATGGCTTATAATTTCTTTATGCAATGTTGAAAAGGGATCCGAAACCAATCGATCTTTACATAGCCTTTAGCCATTTTGAATTAAACTCTTTTGGAATTATGGCTAATAATTTTTTACAACAAAGTGTAATTCTAAAGTTAATTGCTTAAATATTTCATTTAATTAAATTAAGTTATCCTAAAAGTGGTACTTACTCCGTTGATGCAATGCATCCCGAAGTACGGTCCAAGTAAGATGGTATCGCCATATATCAACCGCTCTCCTATAACCGCTCTCATATAGCCGCTCTTCTGTAACCGCTCTCCGAACACACACAACCTTTTATCTGGGCCAACTGATTTTTCGACTACCTCAACCCATAGCCCGTAAATTTTTAGCTAGAACCAGTTGGGAATTATAAATGCACATTCGCGATATTTGATATTAATAAATTAACATTAACATTAACATTAACATTAACATTAACATTAACATTAACATTAACATTAACATTAACATTAACATTAACATTAACATTAACATTAACATTAACATTAACATTAACATTAACATTAACATTAACATTAACATTAACATTAACATTAACATTAACATTAACATTAACATTAACATTAACATTAACATTAACATTAACATTAACATTAACATTAACATTAACATTAACATTAACATTAACATTAACATTAACATTAACATTAACATTAACATTAACATTAACATTAACATTAACATTAACATTAACATTAACATTAACATTAACATTAACATTAACATTAACATTAACATTAACATTAACATTAACATTAACATTAACATTAACATTAACATTAACATTAACATTAACATTAACATTAACATTAACATTAACATTAACATTAACATTAACATTAACATTAACATTAACATTAACATTAACATTAACATTAACATTAACATTAACATTAACATTAACATTAACATTAACATTAACATTAACATTAACATTAACATTAACATTAACATTAACATTAACATTAACATTAACATTAACATTAACATTAACATTAACATTAACATTAACATTAACATTAACATTAACATTAACATTAACATTAACATTAACATTAACATTAACATTAACATTAACATTAACATTAACATTAACATTAACATTAACATTAACATTAACATTAACATTAACATTAACATTAACATTAACATTAACATTAACATTAACATTAACATTAACATTAACATTAACATTAACATTAACATTAACATTAACATTAACATTAACATTAACATTAACATTAACATTAACATTAACATTAACATTAACATTAACATTAACATTAACATTAACATTAACATTAACATTAACATTAACATTAACATTAACATTAACATTAACATTAACATTAACATTAACATTAACATTAACATTAACATTAACATTAACATTAACATTAACCTTAAAGTTATACATTTCAAATATGATCAAAAGTGATATGTTAATTTCATTCGGGTAATTATTTAAAGCTATGAAATATACTACTTTTTAAAAGTATTTTGTTTATCTTTATCCATTTTACTGCTTCTTAAAAGATCAAATTAACATAGAAACAGGGAATATAACTATAATGGATAAATGTGAATCCAATTTCCGTGCGAGTATTATTTCCACTAAATCGCATTAGTGCATAACCTTTTTTCTAATGCAAAGTTCGAGGGTTAATTGAGCGATTTTTGCGGCTCTGTGTCGCATTATCCTCTGGTTTGCTGCCGATGTCCCGCCACCGCTGGTCCGTGGCTCTAATTTTAGATGCCGGCTACGTCAGCGGGCCAATTGGCAGGACCCGCTGCCACCGGCGACTCTGCGGCTGTTTGATCAATAACCCAGATATATGGCCGTAACAACAACAAATAGCGAAATCAACAATGCCAGCAGAGACAGACCAAAAAGCCGTGAGAGCCGACGAAGTCCGTCGATTTGAATAGCTGCCATCAAATTAATTGCAACTGCATTGTGTACCGGGCATTAAAATACACCTCCATTCGTCTTCTTTTTCCCGTTTTCAGTTAATAACTGCCGATTTTTGAACTGACAATAAAACTAAGCGCAATTGTAACAACAAGGAACCAAACGAAACCAACCAAAAAAACAAAAGCACGGGATTTAATCAGAGGAAAAATAAATAAATAAACACAAAGAATGGGACGCAAAGTAACGGTGGCGGTGTCCACGTTGAACCAATGGGCATTGGACTTCGAGGGCAATATGGCGAGGATACTGCAGTCCATCCTGGAGGCCAAGGACATGGGCGCCAGCTATCGCACAGGACCTGAGCTGGAGGTTTGGTAAGTTCGGACTTTAGAAAATGTAACCATAGCTCCTTATACAACATTTCCTAGGGCACATTTTCAAGGTATTTTAAATTAGTAAAGATATCTTTATCACTTCTAAATCTAGTATGGACTCATATGTTATCTCACAACGTTTCAATTATTTTCCATTTAAACATCTTGTTATTTTATTTGTACTTTACCCAGTACATACATGTTTCTCTTTTCTATTACGCAATTAAAATTATTACATATTGTAAGTCATCTTTGCTTTAAACCTAAACTTTAGGAATCCGATTAGCGCTTTGATACTTTGTATATACTTTTCAACCATAATATTTTCAGGATGCCAAAGAAAATGAATTAGTTTATAGTTACTTGGTTACCTAAATATACTATCAAAAAGCTTTAGACTAATTAATTAAAAATTCCTTTAAAAATTGAAAATGAATATGAATGAATTAATGAATATACATTTTCGTACAGTGGCTACAGCTGCGAGGATCACTTTCGGGAACCGGATACATTCCTGCACTCGTGGGAGGTGTTGCTGGAGGTGATGATGTCGCCCATCTGGTGAGTTCATTTGATTTGCTTTCGCTATCGTATAAATAACCCATTTAACCCCCAGTGAGAATATGCTGGTGGATGTGGGCATGCCGGTGATGCATCGCAACGTGGCCTACAACTGCCGGGTGGCGTTCTTCAACCGCCAGCTCCTGCTCATCCGGCCCAAGATGGCCATGTGCGACGATGGCAACTATCGGGAGTCGCGATGGTTCACCGCCTGGACAAAATCGCTGCAAACGGAGGAGTACGTGCTGCCGCGGATGATTGCCCAGCACACGGGACAGCAGACGGTACCGTTTGGGGATGCCGTGATAGCCACCAGGGATACCTGTTTGGGCTACGAGATCTGCGAGGAACTGTGGAATGTGCGCAGCAAGCACATCGACATGTCCTTGGCCGGAGTGGAGCTGATAGTGAACAGCTCTGGGAGCTACATGGAGCTGCGAAAGGCTCACATCACCACCGATCTCATCCGGAATGCCAGTTTCAAGGCCGGCGGAGCATATCTGTTCAGTAATCTTCGCGGATGCGACGGCCAGCGGGTGTACTTCAATGGCTGCTCGGCCATTGCCCTGAATGGTGAACTCCTTGCGCGGGGCCAGCAGTTTGCGCTGCAGGATGTGGAGGTCACGCTGGCCACCATCGATCTGGAGGAGATTCGTGCCTACCGCGTCAGCCTGAGATCCCGCTGCACAGCGGCTGCAGGGGCAGCAGATTACCCGAGGATCCATTGTGACTTTGAGATGTCCACGCACAGTGACATCTTCAAGACGTCGACGCCACCGTTAAATTGGCCCAACCACACGCCCGAGGAGGAGATCGCCCTGGGACCCGCCTGCTGGCTGTGGGACTATCTGAGGAGATCGGGTCAGGGGGGATTTTTCCTGCCCCTGAGTGGCGGTGTGGATTCGAGTAGCTCCGCCACCATAGTGCACTCCATGTGCCGGCAGATTGTCCAGGCTGTGCAACTCGGTGATGCCCAAGTGCTCCACGATATCCGCAAGATTCTGGCCGATACGGACTATACGCCGGATAATGCAGCCGGATTGTGCAACCGACTGCTAGTGACCTGCTTTATGGGCAGCGTGAATAGCAGCAAGGAGACGAGGAGGAGGGCCGCCCAACTGGCCAACCAACTGGGCAGTTACCACATCGAGATCAGCATTGACCTGGCCGTAAATGCCCTGTTGGGCATATTCAATGCCGTCACCGGCTTAACACCCCGATTCCGGACACAGGGCGGTTGTGCCCGCCAGAATCTGGCGCTGCAGAATATCCAATCGAGGATTCGCATGGTCCTAGCCTACATCTTTGCCCAGCTGATGCTGTGGGTGAGGAACAGGCCTGGTGGACTGCTCGTCCTGGGCTCCGCCAATGTGGATGAGTCGCTGCGCGGCTATTTGACGAAGTATGACTGCTCATCGGCGGACATCAATCCGATCGGCGGGATCTCCAAAATGGATCTGCGAAGATTTCTGGCCTACGCCAAGGACAAGTAAGCAGAGATTACATAAAAAGGGGGAGATTAATTGTAGGATTCAAAGATATATTGAAGTTTTTATTTTTAAATTATTCCATTTAAATGAGCTCCTACTAATGGAGTGGTACTACTTTTACCGATTGGATTTATTATTCGGTCTTTTTATAATTACACCTTTTAACGTTTCATTCCTAAAGAATTATTAATTTAAATGTGATTTAACGACTTCTTGTCTAAGGTGAAATAAATATTATAATTTTTAATGAGCTTACTTTTAGGCTTTAGAAGTTTCACTCTATAGTTTCAGTAAAAATTAATATAAGCCTAAGGCATTTTTTTTGTTTAATAGAGATTCTTAAAAATGCATCCAAAGATATTCAAGGTAAAGCCCCTGTCATATAGATTCGAGTGAAGGCCCTCTCAAAAGTTCTAATTAGTTTACTGACTCTCCGCACCCCTATTGTCCAGGTTCAACCTGCCCGTGCTGGAGTCGATTATCGAGGCGCCGCCCACCGCCGAACTGGAACCGCTGCAGGAGAACGGGGAGCTGCAGCAGACGGACGAGCAGGACATGGGCATGACCTATGCAGAGCTCTCCCAGTACGGCCGTTTGCGCAAGCAGGCCTTCTGCGGCCCGTACAGCATGTTCTGCCGCCTGGTGGCCACCTGGAAGGGCGATCTAAGTCCCAAGGAGGTGGCCGACAAGGTGAAGCACTTCTTCCGCTGCTACGCCATCAATCGGCACAAGATGACCGTGCTCACGCCTTCGGTCCATGCGGAGAGCTACAGTCCGGATGACAATCGGTTCGATCATCGCCCCTTCTTGTATCGGCCCAACTGGAGCTGGCAGTTCAAGGCCATTGATGACGAGGTGGACAAGCTGCAGCCCATCTACACGCCCTCGTCGGCACAGCTGCGTCCGAGCAGCGAGGACCTGATGCTGTCTACCCAGAGATCCTCCCATTTGGACGATTCGAAGCACTCCTCACCGTTGTCCTCGGCCTCGGCGTCCGCATCGATTGACGTGGGCATTTCCACGGCTGCGGTTCCGCTACCAGGTGCCGCTGCCCCAGGCGGCCTTTCCAAAAAGCCCAGCGGCTACTCTAAGGTGCACGTTAATGTCCTGGGCAAGATCAAGGACCGCACGGGCATTCCCGTCTAGGAACGACATACTCGCAAAGCACTGGAATTATACAAATATTTTTTTTTGACCACAGCTTGATGTCTTTTGCTGAACAACTAAGAAATCATAGTGTTTAAAAAAAGTTATATTTCACAAAAAAAAAAAGTTTTATATATTCAGCTATCAGCTATGTATGTCCTGTAACTTAGTGCCTTCTATTGTTCGTAACTTTGTTTGACTTTTGTTTATTATTTAAAAATGTTTCCTTAAATTGTGTGTATATCTACATGGCCATAAAATAAATTAAACCCCAAAGAAATTCGTACCCCCTAATTGCAGAAACATAGCTATGTGTTTAATTGTTGTTGATAGTTTGTTAGTTTTTTGAGCGAAGTTTATTCATAACCATTTTAACAAAAATGATATCCCAGTACTAGAAGAACATTTTCCTCTAAAACTTAATTAAAATAAGCTGTTTGGAATTGAAGAAGTTTTATTATTATCTACTTATATTATTCTTATACATTTAAAATGGCCTTAATATAACTAAAATAGTTCAGATGATTTGAGTTAAACTATTATTATACATGTCATGTCAAGCACTTGACAAACACTATTTTCCAAATCACTAAATACGTAGCTTTATTATCAAGCAGCAGCAAAAGACATTATCCTGTATATATACTTAATCCGTATGTGTAGGCCTAGCCGTAGTCATACTCATAGCGTTGCTCGTCCTTCTAAGTCCTTAGTTTTTCAGATACTTTTCTATGTAGTCGGCCTTTGTAGCGTCTTTTCCAGTTTGCCTTATCTAAAAGTCTTTAATCTTGTCTAATGCTCAAGCTAAAAACTGGACAAAAAATTTGTCTGCCTGTCCAAACAATTATCTACAACAATCTTTAAAGTAAAAAACTGGGCAAATCCTTTGCCACACATTTAGTTAGGTCAATCAAAGTCTTTCTTTTGGCTTCACAAAAAAACGATTACTACATTTTTTTAAAAGCTTAACAAAGCTTAACAATGGAAAACATCCGAGCATAGATACGTTCCTTCTTTATAGTTCTAAAATAAATGGATTATTAAGTCAATTACTGTATCTGACGTAAAATTGTTAGTTTCAACTGATTTTCTTATATGTACATATACTTGTTTCTAAAAATTCACTTTTATAAAGCACTGTTTTCTTAATAATTAAGATAAATTTGTTGATTATGAAACACTTTTCCTACGTTTACAAACGCACAACGCAAACTATATTATATAAGTCAAATTAGGAACGTCAATTACATAATCTGTGTTTAAATTATGCACAAGCTTTTGAACAAGCCCAAAAAAGATTAATACATTATAACTCACAACTGTTTAAAAAACTCCATTGGTCTTTGTTTAGTGAAACTCGGACGAGACAAAATATAATAGGTAAACTTTATTGGTATACACCTAAAACAACCAAAAAATGTCCTCTAAAAATTAGGAATCAGACCTTTAAAAATTTAACATTGATATCACAAAAACTTAATGCATCATAATGCTAATATTATTTGGAAAACAATTTAAATGACAACTTTTATCTAAGCTAAACTTTTGCTTATAAATAAAATGTATCCATTTGAACCAGTCAAGTTTTATTTGTTGTCTCAATTAAAAATTCTACTTTATGTTTAAAAGTAAGATTGAAGATATGTGTAAAATTCTTAACATTTTTAGAACACTTTCTTGGAAGATGACAAATATTATGTTTTTTGTAATGTATGTAGATTTATAGCACATTGTGAATTTGAACACTCGCATCGGATCGATTTAATGGAACACTGATTATACACCTCTGTAGAAGGAAATATATACACCATACATTTTTGTAGTCTTAAATGGATTGGGTATTTGTTTGTTCCGTTCAAGATTAAGTAATGTTTAAGATTACTCCCATATGTGGTAAGTCAAGTATTATTTTGATCGGGATAAAACTTTCTTCTAATGAGCGGCAATATCTAAATTACATTAAATTACACCCCCTTAATGCCCCCTAAATTGGGTTATCTGTATTTCAGCTGATAGACTTTCTACGGTCACGGAATGTGAGTAAGCCTTATCCATGACCAATAATATTTCTGTTGCCCCAAACACTTCAATATAATCAGTGGGCAAGTCAGGTCACACCTGGTGGCCTTATCAGGTCATAAACAGTCCATAAAAAGGTTAACAAACACAGGTGGGTTAATTACCAAGAAGTGTTATGTTTGGAAATTCTAGTTAACCAAGTATTGGCATTTCACAAACAATTTAAAATTTGAAATACTTGTACCTAATACGTTTGATCATTTTCAACACTGCGATAATTATTATAATCCAACGCTTACTTACTAATTTATAAATAAATAAAAACGAGACTGGTAAACCAAATTAATTTTCAGGATTGCCACCTTTATCTTTTTTATATACAAGATTCTTGACCCATACATCATAAATATTTAAACATTTCACATGAGAATGTCAAAGGGTAGAGTAGTCCTACTTGACAGGAAAAAATTGAAGCAGAGATAATTTTTCATTTGGATTTGTTCTACGAAAGGGTAAGGAGGTCTAAGCTCCATGCCAGGTCGTACATATAAGATTTATTTTAAGTACTACGATGCGGTTGTCAAATAAGTAAGTTGCAGAGAAAGCGTTTTCACCCTGGAGGTTCTTTTAAAAACCTTTATTTCCAGGTATCCCATGGCAATGGTCCGCTTTTCTTGGAGAGGTAATTTCTATCTGCACATTGACCATTCACGATGTCATCAAACAGCTCAAGCAGAATCAAAGCATGAAGTCTATGGATCTACATCTACTCTACATTCCGGGTTTTCTAGACGTGAATGATGAATAATATAATTCGACGGACATTTCGCGCCTTGGCCATCATAGTTCCTGGAGAATTTCTATGCGAGCAACATCCTGCTGAACCTGGAGAAGAGTAATGGTGCAATGGTTTCAGGGATGTTTAAGTCGGACCCCAAGAAAAACACACTTTTAGTTTTATATTATGCTTGAGTTTTGAGACGTACTTTATGAAATCCCCTATAGCAGCGAGTTTTTTTTGGGCATCAGCCACTAAAAACACTCTTCTATATCGCTGGGAGTTTCTGTGTGCTCCGGTGGCAGCTCCGCGTCCAGCAGCTAGATGGTCTCTTTAAAGTGAACAGTTTCTCCAGCAGCTGGACGTGGAGCTGTCCCTAAAAGTTTAAAAGGCTAGGTCAAGCCCTTATGGATGATTTATGAGAGTCTCCCAAAAGGGGGCTGGCTGCTATAGGGCACTTAATGTACGTCTTTAAGCTTAACCAAAACCGGGATTATACAGTTTGTTAAAGACTTCTCCCAAACTATTAAAAATGTTCGCATTGAGTTTGCCGCAAATCTATTGTTAATGCTAAATGCAAAGTTGCGCAATATCGGCTTCGTTCAGGAATCCCGTCCAGGCGATGATCGTGCGGAAGGGCTCTCCATTGAGACGCCTCACGACCCGCACATTGTTTTTCTTCCCATGGATGGCATCCACTTTGCGGCCACGCAGGTGATCCAGCACCATTTGGCCACGTGTGTGGGCACCGGTTAGTTCCACGGTGGCATAGTATTCCCGCTGATCGGCGATCATCGCCTCCGGGAAGAGGTAGGCGGCAGTGAGCAGTGAGTCACAGCTGACCCACTTCTGGAAGCCACGTGGCTCCAACATGGAGCGCTCCACTCTGGTCAGCAGCTTGACAAAAGGATGATCGACAGATCCCAGAACATTCAGGCGCCAGTCAAGGGTGATGCCAAATTCACCATCGATGCACGGTTCCCAGGGCAGGATTAGCGCTGGGCACGACAATCGTTCCAGGGCAATGTGCGCCGCCTCGGGATCCATCATGAAATTGAACTCGGCACTCTTGGTGACATTGCCCTTGCCGAAAATGTTGCCGCCCATGATGTAGACCCCACCGATCTTGTCCAGAAAGGCCTGGCCGTACAGGTTGATGCAGTTGGCAAAGTTGGTGAGTGGGCCGCAGAGCAGGAAGTCCACCTGGCCGGGATGCTGGCTGGCCAGGCGGTACATGGCATTGACGGCGTGCTCCGGCTGCAGTTCCTGCTCCACACTGACCTCCGGATAGTCCCCCAAATCGTTTAGGCCGTCGTGGCCATGGAAGAGATTGGTGTAGGCCCAAGATCGAGGCACTATGGGATCCGCACAACCTCTGAAAACGGGCACCTATGGAGAGGATACACTTATTAGTGGGGGTAATCAGCATGTAGATATCCAAAGATCAGATCTCACATCCCGCCTGTCCAATGTGTGCAGAATTCGCAGGGCGTTCAGAGTCCCATTGTCCACATCCGTGTTGCCCTGAACCGTCGTTATGGCCACCACCTTGATGCTCCTTCCACCCGGCAGAGCCAGCTCCTCCGCCCGCAGCATCATGGCCAATCCCCAGGCATCGTCGGTTCCTATATCACAGTCGTAGATCACTAGGCGTTTCTTGTTCTCCATGGCTGAATATTATCAGATCCAATTTAGAGGTGGATTTGGGGGTCTCCCAAACCTTTGGCACTTATCGATTACGAAACTATCGCCCCCACCGTTGGCTCATTTCTCATTAAATACTATTATTAAATTTAGTGGGCTTATTTAAGCTGATGATTAAAGTTAGCCCTGGCGACCCCTTTTTAATATTTACTTTGAAGAAACATCGTTTTGAGTCTGCTGACTGCATTTCAGAGTCTCCATTCCCCAGCATATTTCTGCAATTCATTAAATTTTGTGTTAATTAACAGATAATAAAGTAAAATTACCTGCAAGAGCTGCATACAAATTGTCCAATTTGAAAGTTTCTGGATAGTGGTGAGTTTTCCAGCTGTTTTAATGTGGTGTATTTAGGATGTGGTATTTACAAGATGTTTATTTTTGCAGGAAAAAGGATCCAGGGTTTTGATTAAAAAAAAACGAAAAATCGAGCTGGTTTTGGCCAAAACATTTTTTAAATGGAGCAGATTTTTCCGGATTTTGGCCAAAAAATATATTTTATAAGGCGCACCACTTTGATTTTTTTGCGACAAATTAGTTTTTACGATATTCATTTTCTGTAAATTGGACATTGTTGGAAATTTTGTCACGATTTCAAATAGGGATCTCATTCCAACATGCGATCACTATTTCCCAGGGTTTTGATTATAAAAACGAAAAAAGGAACAGATTTTTTCCGGATTTTGGCCAAAATATATTTTATAGGGGCACCCCTTTGATTTTTTTGCGAACAATTTGTTTTTACGATATTCATTTTCTACATTGTTGGAAATTTTGTCACGAATTCAACGAGGTGTGAAATTCCAACATTCGATCACTATTTCCCAGGGTTTTAGTAAAGGAGACATTTCCGACCATTTAAAGAATATATTTTATCTTATATTATAATAAAATCCTATTCCGAAACATTCGTTTGCTGTCACTTGAGCGAATAAGACTATGTAAATAAAGCACAGGCGGTTAATAACTTAAGTGGGTATTTCGCACCCATATATGCAATGTGTCTGTCGTCTGGCATTCTAGAATCTATGTAGATTACTTCAAGTGTCGCAAGTGGGCGACAGACGACAATTCTCATTATGGTTCGTTATTATCGCAACGACCTGCCGCAATTTGATTTCCATTGTAATTGCAATAGTGGTTCCAGTTGCCCTTCGGATCACGCCTCCGGGCTTCATTACATTAAATTGTAAATTCAATTCGTTGTGCCTCTCACAAATTCCTCCCTATTTAAACCATTTCTGGAAAGCGGACGATTTCAATTAAATTCGGTATTTATTCTATCCTAGAGCTACAAGTATAAACTTTTATAACTACACGACAAAAACAATTACAATTTTCTTCTTATTTGTTTAAGTCTCTAACGTTTTATAATTGTAATAATTACTTACAATAGATGTTATTAAAATGTATAATTATTAATTGATAAATGTATGTTTAATTTGTTTTGAAATACATAATTCGTATGCATTAAATTGATTTGTTAAAAGTGGAAAAACCCAGGGTGACATCTTGGAAATACTTAGGCCATGGGGTATTTCCACCGAAAGTAAGGGCATCGGATTAGCGACCTAGTAGAGTCCAAGTATTCCCACACATCTTATCCGTTTGTCCCGCTCTCGCTCGACACACAAACGTGAAACACTTTGCAGATATGCAGTGCACACATGGCGACATACCGCATCGCACATGTAAGTTGGCGGAGAAAGACTAGAGCATTATGAAATTCCGTGATATGGAACTCTGGCAATGCCCCAGTACGCAGTACGCAGTACCTAGAACCAGAACCGAGCCGAAGCGAGGCGAGGCGAGGCGAACCGATAGACGATGTCCGGCGGCAACCAGATGATTGGTGTTTATGTATATGGGTTTATTGAGTATAATAGTCCGTAGTCCGCGGCGCGCACATTCACCAATTGCCGGCGATGGCGGACGGACGCATAGTGGAAAACGGCGGAGTGGGATCCGCATCACCCAGATACGCGATCCTCGACTGCGATGGCGGCAGCGACGATGCCTGGGCCCTGCTCCTGCTGATCCATGCCGCCAAGAGCCACGGGATCGAGCTCCTGGCGGTCACCACACTCGGATGCGGGAACACCAGTCGAGAGAACGCCGCCCGCAATATGCGACTGATACTGGATGCCTGCAAGCGAACAGACGTAAATATATACATATTATTATTAAAGTGCACAAAAACAAATTTTATACAGCATTGTTGACCACATATTTGATATGAAAAAAATAACAAAACTTTGTATAGTATTAATATGTATATCAAAATAATATTTTTTTAACTAAAATATAAGAAAAATTTTTTAAACAGCGGTGGGTTTTGAACTAGTGCCAACTTACACAAAAATTTTAATTCAACAACGACCTTTTCTGTGGAGATTTTAATGTCATCTTGATTCGTACATAGATAATATATGTATCTTAAAAGTTCAGAAAAATTTTTTTTAGTATTTCGAACAAGGACGTAATTCTGGAAATATAGGGCATCAAATTGAAGACCTTTTAATTTTGGTTTATTCTTTGTAATTTATTATAGATCGTAAATGATGATTAAATAATGGAATTAAATATTTAGTTATGTGCATATGCATGTACAAAGACACTTTATTTTCATTAATGTGATTTATGGTAATCTACGAGTTATATTCCACGTCATTTTTAGAATGTCTTTGAATGCTTATTTTATATTAGTTTAAAAATCTCAATAGGCATTTAAGTAATTTCGAGCTTATAATTGTTGAAAACAAGTAATATTGCCTGTTGCCTTAAATTGTGAAAAAGTTTAGTCTAAAACCATTAGATTTACCTGACTAATGTTCGATGATTTCAGATTCCCATTTACCTGGGTGCGGTGGATCCCCTGATTCCCTTCACGGAGGACGATAAGAAGTATTTCCATGGACGCGACGGATTCGGGGACTGTCTCACCGACGACTGCGGTCCGGTGGAGAGTTACGTGCGCCCGGAGCATGCGGTGACCGCCATCCATGATCTCTGCCGTGCCAGACCCAAACAAATCACAGTATTTGCCGTGGGCCCACTCACGAATCTTGCTTTGGGCTATACGATGTATGGTGATAAGTTCGGGGAGAACTTCAGGGACATATTCATCATGGGCGGCAACTACCAGGGCGTGGGCAACTCCTCACGGTCGGCGGAGTTCAACTTCCACTCGGATCCGGAGGCGGCACACACAGTGCTGCTGAAGAGTCGCTGCCCCATCACCATTCTGCCTTGGGAACCCTGTCTTCCGGACAGGTTCAACATACCCATTGTGAGTACAACTTCTCCTTAAGGCAGGTTTACTTCATATAGTTATTCCGAGACATATCCGGATACGGATAGCAAGAAACATTTATTTTTTTGATTGAGCGAATAAATTACTTTTATTTAACACGCATAACACCTATTGTCAATTCCGAGAAATATATAATCATACGTATACGTACATATTTAAATGTGCAATGAATTCAAATTGCAACGAATTATGAAAGTAGTATTGTACATTGGTATTAAACTTAATAATTTATATAGTAGATTCGGTTAAAGCTTTTATTTTTATTCGGTTCTTTTTTGAAGCTCCAAAGTCATATTAATATAAATCTTGACTAAAAAAAAACTTAATCGTAATACTTGTTTACTTAGCTATTATGGCATATGGATGGTATTTAATCCCGCTTTTATTGCAGAACTGGCGCCTGAAGGAGTTCGCCGCCAGGGCCAAGGACGCCAGCCATCCGGCGATCACATTGCTCAACCAGGTGGAGGCCGCCCAGTGGCTGCCGATGATCGAGCAGTACGGGATTGATACGTGGAACCCCTGCGATGCCATCGTGGTGGCCGCCTGGCTCTTTGAGGATCATCTGATCCGGAGGCACAGCACCTGGCACGCCACCGTGGATCTGCGTGGCACCCACACTCGTGGCCAGATGGTCCTCGACCATCTGCGGGAGCGCGAGAAGTATCCGGAGAATGTGCGAATCATCGAGCTGGTCGACGCCGAGTTCTTCAAACGGATCTGCGAGTGGATCGCCGGCTTGGACGACGGTGCCCTTCTCCGCGACACCCAATAAACCCATAATTGTAGTAAATCCCGCCTTTTTTTTTACTTTATCATTTTATTAGCCCTGAGATAAGGTCGTAACTTCCTCGAAAAGAACTTGTGCAATACACCTGTTCGGAGATTAGTAAGCTCAAATTTTAATTCCAATTTTAAGTGTGGAATAGGGAAGATAAAATGTACAAACTTCACTTTTTATATGCTTATACATTTTACTATTAGCTGCTGTCCTTTACTACTTTAACCATATTTTCTGCAAGTACCCTTGCAATTAATAAAAAAATTATTAGTTAATTACTTAATTGTACATATGTACGTTTATAGAAACATTTTTAGATTATAAACGATAAGATATTTGTGGCCCCTTTGCTTGATGTTGTTTTTACAACTAATCAGTTGAAGTAGGCCAAATACGCGAGGAAAAATATGAAATCAAAATTAAAGAACAATGTTAAATAAATGTCGGCCATCGTTTCTTTCATAGTAACAAGACCATATATTTGTATAAATTCTTCGATTATTGTACAAAGGTTAAAACATTTTTCTGTGATAACTGAGTAACAGAAGATATGCAAAATAAATCTGTTTCTTAAATCTTCCTTGACTTGCACTTTAATTCCAAAGGTAAATAAACGGAATAGTGAGGGGCTCTATAAGCAGATATGATTATTATTTTCTATGTTGATGGTTACTTATGTACTTAAAAAGTTATAACCTATTTTTGTTCAAAACTGTTGTTTTTTGAGTTCTTGTTAATGTATAACTCAGTTCCGGATATTTCCGAATTTTCAAAAGTATGAACATTTTGTTAAAATACAAACAAAGAGACTATCTTTAATATTTAAACTTGGCTTACCAGGAAACCCATATAAACCATCTTACCTCTAAAGAAATGTTAGCAGCAATACTGATTTGTGTTAGATTACGCCAAGTATTAAATAGAAATATTAATTTTTTAAGCAAATTCATAAAATTATATCAATTAAGGGATTTTTATTCAATAACTACAAAATGACAACATTGTGCATAGTTTTTACTTGATTGTATTATTAGGTGTATCGTTTTTTAAAAATTCAAAAAAAATAACGCATATGGCACCAAAGGGTTAACGATTAGTTATCGATTCTCCGTCAGCTGGCAACGCTGAAAAATAAAGAAAGTCAAAACAAGACAAGCGGACCACAACATTAAAATGAATTAAAAGACTGCTTTGTTTGCGATTATAGATTAATTAATTTTTAGATCAGGGCAAAGGTACGGAAAGCGGAAAATAGACCACCCACAAACAAAACGGGCGCAACTTCAGCTTTCATTTAGATTGGCGACGTTCGTAAACAACGGATAAGACTATAATCAGCTGTACGTTATTTTCGGTGACAAAATCATCGTAGAGCCACCCAGCCAACCACAAAGCAACAAAGGGAAGCCTGACCGAACGACCTGCCGTTTTGATAGCACCGAAACACGACACGACTCCCCGCAAAGATTAAAGCCCACTTTTTGGACCCCATCCACAGTGGTCGACCGTCTCTCGGGCACTTCACATCGTTCGCCGTGAGCTAGAGTTTGGGATAGGCATAATTCATAGACCTTAGGAACCCACCGAAATGTGCGTGATATTCTTCTGCGCGGACTCCAATCCGCAGGCCAGTGGCTACAAGTTGATCTTGGCCTCCAATCGGGACGAGTACTTCGCCCGGGCCACCCAATCGGCGGCCAAGTGGCCTAATGCCGAGCATGTCTACGGGGGTAAGTTGTGGTGGGACGTATCTAAAGCCTTGGATCCCCTATCTTTATTGGAAGATAAAATATACAGAGGTGTACCATTTTTTTTTTGAATAACAAGAAGCTGAAAAACACTATTCCTTATAAAAAATATTACATTATTATATATTTTTAATATTTTTTTCTTATTTCCTTACTGATAGCTTCAATATTTCCTTAAAGCCGAAGTTACTTAAAAATATTATAATATATTTTATAATTTAGGTATTTTTTAAAGATTGATAGCTTTTTTACATACACACTTATATATTTTCTAACTGGGAGTCACTGTTGGAAGGTAACCTATTGGAATTGTATTTGAATATCATTAAATTGCCATACCGTTTATGTTGCATAAATCTGAATGATTTTTGGTGTTCAAATGTATGAGAATAGAAAACATTTTATCTCATTATGTATAATAAATAATGTTAAAATGATAAAATATTTGGTGTGCTATACGACTCATATCACTCTATTAAGTTTATTATTTTTCTTGTATCACAATATTTATTATATCTTTATTTCAGGCATCGATCTTGAGCCGGGACGCGAGGGTGGAACTTGGCTGGCGATTGGCCATTCCGCGAATTTCTTTAAAGTGGGCGCCCTGCTCAACCTCACCGGCGAGCCCAAGCCCCGAGATGCAGTTGGTAAACCCATTTAAGCCATTTACTAACCAAAACCAAAACGCTCACACCACACGACACACACCATTCATTTGGCCCGATCTATAACTTTCACAAATTCGAGAAAAAACAAACAACTTTCTTCGTTTCTGTTTTCTGTTTGAAGCGCACAAGAACATTTTGCAACCGCATAATCACAACAGCAACAGCACCGGCATTAACCTTTGCCCCAAGCCCTCCACCTCGAACAATCCAACCAGCCATCCGAGTAAGGGCCAATCGAATAACGAACATTTCTTACTAGGGCGCGGAATGATCGTGGCGGACTATGTCACCCGGTCGGATGAGCAGCACAGCATCCTGGAATACAATCAGAGCCTGCTCAAGGACTGCTCCAAGTACACCGCCTTCAACTTTGTGTCCATCGAGATTGGGTGAGTCGCAGGCAATTTCCGCATTTAGATTTCAATATAGAACAAATTTGGTATTGAATATTAATGATTACTTATAATTTGGACCAGAAAACGTCAAAAAGATCATTTATAATAATTTAATTAAAAATTCACTTACCAAAATTATATTTATGTAGCTCGGTATTATTTACATTATCTTTTTAGCAAAACAAAAAGAATTGCTTTATTTCAAAACTAGGGAACATCACTTTTATCAGCATTACTTGTTTTTTAAATAATCAATTTTCTTTTGCGAATGCTATATAAAAGACAAATATAATTTATATTAAGTTCGTTACAAATTATGTTTGTCTTTTATATTTGTTTAAATGATCATTTTAAAATAACTAATTAATTAGTAGCATTTAACAAATGAAATGTTCTATTCATGCGATTTCGAGTGAACCAATAAATGTTTAATGCAACGAAGATTATTGCGATTAATTAATCAATAAACGCAGTCATAAAATATTTTTCTAAATAAATATACCAAGATTAAGACTAATGCATATTTGGTTTTCTTTTGTCCGAGTAAATGGAAACAACAACATAATAATAAAGCCACTGACTATTGTTTTTGTTTATTAATTCGAAATAGACCTTCATCCCTGCCCGCCCGCGTGAATCTGCTGAGCAATGTGCCACCCACGCTGGAGGAGTTCCAGAACGGAGAGTGCTATGGATTCGGCAACAGCCTGCCGCACACTCCCTTCGAGAAGGTGCGTCATGGCCAGCAGGAGTTCGAGGCGATCGTGAAGAAGCACGGAGGCTCCAGTGTGGAGGACCTGTCCTCCCAACTGATGCAGTTGCTCCGGAACAAGCACAAGTTCTGGCCGGACGTGGAGCTGAAGAGACGTGCGCCCAATTGGGGCGAGGGATTGAGTGCCCTTAATGTTCACATCGGGGAGCATGCATACGGCAGCCGCACCCACACTGTAATCCTGGTGGATAGTCACAACAAAATGCACTTCATTGAGGAAACAATGGATGGAGTGGATCCCGAAGGCGAGTGGAGGACAACCCATATTGAACGGGATTTCCAAAACAGTGTTTAATGCGACGATACTTAATATATCACCTTCAAACTTTTATTGTGCAGAGCACTGAACTCGCTGATATATCAGTAATTTGTATACTCGTTTCCTTTTTTTTTGTACCACTAATATGTATTTTGACTCAGGCATTTACGATAATAAATAGTTATACATATTTTATAATATATATAAGTGGCTCGAACTCATTAACTATTATTTAAACCAACAGAATACCTACTAAAACTTATTTTCATCGTGGTATCATTTTGCTTTGAAAATTCTTTATTTAAACTTATAGTCCGTGAAACTCAACAATTAAAAAAAACTGTTTTCATTTAATACATGACTATTTGGTTTTTTTACATTATCTCTGGCATTTACAACGTCTCCACATGCATACATTATTAGTTATATTTATGTACTTAAGCAAGGTAACAGGGGAATAAGCATCAACGTCTTAGTTTGTTTATCAGACGTGCGCACTATCCCGCTGTTATTATATATCTCTATAGCTTTATGATCCAGTTAGTTAGTGGCTTGATAATTCACCCTATTTGTATTTCTTTGTCACCCGGCCGCTGCCTGCTCCTCCAGTATCATCGCCAGCTCCTCGCAAAACACTCTTGAATTTCCGCGAGTTCATCGAACGTTTTCTGCGGTCGAAAGAGATGGAAAATTAGATAGGGATGGGCATACAAAGACCTAGGTAATAATATACAACGAGATAAGCAGCTATCGGCAAGCCGAAGTTCTTATGCCCTCAGAGGTATAGATACCCACCGTTTGTTTAGGTTATTCCTTGTAAGTGGTATGTACGCATAGGGATCCAGTTGTCCGCGCTTCTTCATGTCGCCCTTGGCCTTTTTGCTGCTGTATTCGTTGCCTGCTGGTCGGCTGGTGGACTTTCCTGATTTCACGGACATGGCATCCGAATTTCCAGCCGCCAGCTGTCGATGGATGCCCTTTCCACCGGCTGTGTAACGACTGCTGGCGGTGGTTTTGCCGGATTTCGTGCTCATCGCGTCGCCGCCCTTGCGTGTCCGCTTTCCACCCGATTGCTGCTGCTGCAGCTCCTCTTCGTCGCTGGAATCGTCCTCCATTCCGCGCTTGGCCTTCGGCTCCTTGGTTGCAGTGCCATCGGCCATCGATGCGTCGGAATCGGAGTCGGAGTCAGACTCATCGTTTCCTCCCTGGCCGCGAAGGGCCTTGTCGCTGATGATCAGGCGTCCATCGTCGGCAGTCTTGAAGCCTCCATTCGGCAGCTGGGGTTTCGCCTTTAGGCTCTTGGCAGTGGTGGCCGTTTGGGCAGAGCCACTAGCTGGAAATGGCCAGGAAATAATAGTTATAAAAATATGTTTCTTTTATCAACACAAGTTCTAAAAGACAATTTAAAATACAAATTTATTTAAATTTTTGGTGCTCAACTTACTCAGCACATTGCCAATGGACTTGAGATCGGCCAAATCGACAATCTCTTCGGGATCCTCGCGAATGTAAGTGCTCTTCTGCTGTTTGGATTTCTTGTTTCGCTTGCCGGCAGCTGTTCCGGCTCCGCCCTCTTCCTCCGCGTCCATATCCTCGGGCAGATCCGAGTCGGAGTCAGCCAGAATATCATCAATGCTGTGAATAACAATAGTTCAATTCTCTGGGTAATTGCAATGAAAAGAGACCACTCACGTGTAGCTCTTCTGCTCCAGTCCGCCGCCAAGCTCCTCATCGGAGCTATCCGCCTGGGCCTCCTCGCTTTGCTTCTTGCGCGTATCCCTGCGCATCTGCTTGCGGATCTTCTTGAGCCGCCGGTGGGTCACGTCATCATCTCCGGGGACGAAGCGGGCCAGCTCTTCGGTGCTGAAGCGCTTGCAAAGCTTCTTCAGGAAGTAACCGATCTGAATACGACAGTAGCGCTTCGTGTCCTTAGTCATGGCAGACAAGGCGCGCATCTAAAGGCGAATCATCAAATTAATCACAAGCCCAATTCATTCATTCCCAAGCAGTGCTTACAATCGTCTCCAGGTGATTAGACACCAGCGCAATGGGCATCACCTTGATGAAAGTGATCAGGAAGGCAACGGCTGCCTCCGATTGATTGCGGGACTTCTGCACGAGGAAAACGGACACCTGTTGCAGGACAAACTCCAGCGTGGCCACCGTTAAATGTTGGCCTTGCTGCTGGAGCACAGCCCTGAAGGCCAGGATCGTGTTCGTCACCAGCGATTCGTCGCCGGTAAATCCTGCCGTCAGGATGTCCACAAAGTCGTTGATCTTGCCCGCATCCTGGTAGAGTTGCGTTATATTTTTGATTAGCTGCTCGGCCACTTGCTCCTTGCGCGTGGAGAATTCCTTGTAGTTGAGCACCGCCTCCGGAATCGCCTTCATCACTAGCTGGTCGTTGTACACCAGATTGCTGCGGCAATCCATCAGGGATTTCAGGCAGCTACGGTTCGGAAAGTAATGTTTCAGCTGCTGACGTTCTTGTGATATTTAGAGACTTGAACTTACTACAATCGCGATGCCTGGCAAACGCTACAGCTGGTGGTGAATGCCTCGAGAAGAATTTTCTGTAGGGCAATGGTGTTCTTACGGGTGAACTTCTGGCACGATGCCTGCTCCGAGGTCATCAGTTCCCGAAGGAGTCTATAAAACAGGGTTAATATAAAATTAATCACAGTGCTAGCAATTAGCAATATAGTTACTTACTCGTAGGTCTTCCTCTGCTGTTTCTTCAGTTTCTGCTCATCCTTGGCGACCAATTTGGATTTATCGTTCCTCAAAATGGGAGCCAAGTACTTCTCGAAATATATTTCGATTCCACGGCACTTTTGCACACGCACAATAGCAGCATTAATATCAAACAGAGCATCGTATTCGAAACTGGCCACGGCACTGGCTGCCAATTGCCCCTGGGCGTTTTCGAAGAGCTGCAGCTGAACTTCAGCGGGAGCCCGTGATATATACAATCGAATCACATCCAAGACACGCTTCCGCTGATCGGCCTCGTAAGTTCCATTCGGTTTTTGCGTGTAGATATTGAATAGGCGAGGCAGAAAGTTCTTGGCATACAGGCCAATAGCCTGAAGGCATTCTTCGCTCTGACTGTCGTCGAGTAGCTCCATCAGACCATCGTAAATGGGTGGCCTAAACTCCGGATTCTTTTCCAGAGCGGCACCCAAAGTGGGTGCGAGCTGTTGCAAGTATTCCGGATCTCTTGGCTTGCGACAGAAGCCAGGGAACAGGCCCCACAACTGACAGCACAACAGCTCGTAGATGTGGGACGAGGACTTGTTCTTGGCCTCGGTGAACTCCTTCCACTTCTGCTGGCAGTCAATGGCCAGCGGCACGATCTTCTCTTTAAAGAATTGTAGACTAGCCCCGTTGGCTCCCTCGCGAAGAAGGGGCAGCAGCCAGGATCGCTCCAGCTGCATACCGCCCCTGCCATCGGCAAGGGGTATCGCTGTCAGGATCAGTTCGGGCCCTAATGCCTTGATGGCGCTGATCAGGGTGTGCTCGATCTGCAGACGATGGCCGCTCTTGCTGTCGTACCGCTTGGAGATCGTCAGCAGGGAGGGTGTGAGTTCCGAACTAAAAGAGATGTTAGTTGGAAATGTTGGTGGTTAAAGTTTGGGACTATTGTAAAATTGTTTTATAATCGACCAAAAGTCTAATCAATCCCATTGTCCCAAAAATCAGCAAAGACTTCTAGGACAACTCCAAATATAAATTGTATAGGAGTTAAAAATTAATTTGAGTCAATTAAACAAATTATTAATTTACTGACTCACCCAAATTGCTTGCCGCATGCCTCAAAGACGACGGCAAATATGAGGATCACATATTTGGAGATTTCCCCGAAGGGAGCATTTAGCACCTTGTGAAGCGAAACGATGATCCTGGCCACACTCGACCGGTTTCGCTGTGCATCCTCCGCCGTGGCACATGCCAGCGCCACACAGTCCTGCAGCAACTCCTTGATGCAATTCGAGACACCCACAACCAGCTCCGTTCGCTCCGAGAGCCACAGATCCGTGGTGCAGACATCAACCAGACGGGGCAAGGCCTGCATGCAAAGATCCAGCTGCAGGGTGGCCAAGTGGAGATGGCCCTCCTTCAGCACTGTTACCCAGGCGAGGGTCTGCCGCACATCGCTTCTGTCCGGCCGATATTCGTGGATGGCCGCCAGTAGTTTTGCACACAGTGAGGCATTCAAGTTGGGACTCCTCGTCAGGAAGAGGGCATGCAGCGCCTGGAAACAATTCGTCCTGACCAGCACGTTGGCCGCAGTCATAATAGATAGCAGGTGCTCGCAAACACTGCGTATGTCCTCCGTCCGGAAACCGGATAGTGTGTCCTTGAGCAGCGCCAACGTATGGAGCACCGTCGTCTGGGCATTGGCCAGTACCTCTGGCTTGAACTGGGCCAAACAGAACTTGGTCACCCGACTACTGGCGGGATGATGCTTCACCTTAGGCTGTTCCGCCGCCTTCTTTTTCTCCGCCGAATCCTCCTCATCCTCCTCGGACTTGACGGCCGGCAGCATGAAGCAGCTGCCGTGTATGATGGAGACCACCGCATGCTGGGCCGCCTTACGGATCTTCGGTTTGGAGTGAATGCTGAACGCGAGCAGGGCATCAAAGTACTGGAAAGTTGAGCTGTACGTCCACGTCGCATAATCCTGGGCACGCAGGAGGACGGACAAGCAGCCAATTACCTGGAAAGGGGGGAACGAAAAATAAATAGTTAAACCAACAATTACATTAACATTTATATGCTTATAAATATTTAAATTCCACTCATTTCATGTCAATTTGATCTATCTTAAATGGTCTGATGGTTGAGGATTTATTTAAATTGAAAAAGAACAAATGGTTTAATATGTATGATCAGATGATTTTGTAGATGTTATGTTTATAAGAATCTATTCAGATCACACCCTTGATAGCTAGTTACTAATAGCTTTCCCAAATACTTATTTTAGAAAACCCCTTAATAATCTACTTACATATCGGATGACCGACTGGTTGGTGGCCTCTACGAATCGCTGGAGCAGCGCCTGCATGGTGGCGGCGGTCTGGGCGAACCGCTTCCTCAAAACTGGAGCCGGAACTGACTTGATGCCCATGGAAAGCAGCGCCACGCCGGCCACGATGTCTCGCTCCTCGGTGGCCGCCTCGATCTGCTCCATGAGCAGCAGAAAATACTCCGTGGACGACTCGCCTCCGCCGTTCTCACGGATTATTTCGGTGAGGGCGCTCAGAATGGCCAGCATCTCCTTGTGAAGATCAGAGGAGGCCCGGAAGCCGGTGAGAAGTTTCCGGAAACTGGTGTTACTGCAGCTGCTGTAGTTGGAGGCGAAGGTCTGGAAGGTCTTGAAGGTGCCGGTGGGAGCTGTACCGGATCCGGACATCCCATCGTCTTCGTCGTCCAGTTTGAAGCTCCTCAAACTGCCGGCCACATCGTTAACCGTCGTGGTTTCCGCATTGTAAGCCTGTCTTTGCTCGTGCTTGTGGACCGCCTCCAATGTTAGGCCAGTGGTTTTGGCAGCCGCTGGAGGGGATTACCAATTAAGGGTTAGAGGGCACAGGCTACAGGTGGCTCATTTAAGAAACCCTACTGTTCGTACTTACCCAAACTCAAGTTGGGTTGGAAGAAACGCGATTTGGCTTTCAGGCGGTGCTTCATCTGGTCGGGATTGGAGGTGGCCGACTGGCCCTTGCTCCACGTCTTCCCCTTGCCATGGCGCTTAAGCTTCGATCGAAATTTGCCCATAATCCACGCTAGAATTGATCAAGGAAAGTAGCCAATAAAAAAAAACAAATCGCAACACGTGCGAAGTAGTGTGACCGCTCTTCCGTTAAATTGTTCTATCGGAACAAAAGTAATCGATTCGCAAATCGTTTTTTGAATGTGGTGAGTTTCTATCAAAGTTTTATAAAACGTTTTGAGAAAGCGCCAGTTTAAATACCACATAAATTATATGTTCCAAAGAAAACATTTCAAAAATAGGCTATAATAGTAAAAAGTTTCTCAACACAAAAAAAAATATTAATATTAACATTTATATTTTTATATTTTATTCAATCCCTTAGTTTGTTTTGAATAATATAAAAACAAGAAAACATAATTGAGTTTGCCGGTTATTATAATATTATTGAACTTTAAATAAGCCTGGTACTCAGATCGACAAACGAGTTCGCCAGCGGAAAAACTTTAATCTTTCCAGTGTGACTGCATTTTCGAGAATTCATCAGAATTAAAGCCTAGTACTCAGATCGAGAAAAACTGTACGCCAGTCATGAGAGAGAGCGAGAGGCAGACAGCTGGCGTTCACTTTTCTTCAGCCTTTTTTTTCACCCCGGTACTCAGATCGACGCAAAAAATACCAGAAAATTACTTCGCGCTGTCAACCACCTGAAATTAACTTTTGGTGAACCCTAGCGAAAAGAATACAAAATGTAATCTTTTGGCGTACGCTTCTCACTGAACCTTTTAAAAAATCAAGGGATAAAATCCAAAAACCCGCAAAAGTCGATTGCAGGAGTTTTCTTCTGAGGGTGTTAATCTTTTGGGGTGGCTCTTGTACGAAAAAACGCAATAAAAATCGCCTGTTAGTGCAGCTATAAACTTTATATTAGCAAATAATTATCAGTAAATTAAAACAAATTAATGTTTTTACGCTAGCGAACTCGTTTTTCGATCAGAGTACTAGGCTTAAGAAACACTTTGCTCTGTCAAGAGGGGGTTCCTTGATATTTTCCCTCCATTTTTTAAAATGGTCAGTGAGAAGTGCACGCCAAAAGTTTAAATTTATTTTTTCTTTTAAGCCTAGTATCCAGATCAACAAACGATTACGCTACCGTAAAAACTTTAATCTTTCCAGTGTGACCAAAAGTTTGAGAGTTCATCAGATTTAAGCGTGCTACGGTCGTACTGTCAATCAGCTGGGTTTGGTGACAAGCAGTTAAAATTCAAATATCGTATTTGCGGGAAAGAGCCTTTAAAAGATATTATCAAATACTTTGGCAAAACAAGTCTGTCGCTGTAAAAAGAAATTAAAAAACAATACAATTTAAATTTAACAGTTGTTTTTTTTAATTTACTGATAATTATTTGCTAATTTAAAGTTCATAGCTGCACTTTTATTGTGTTTTTTCGTACATTCTGGACCTAAAAAACATTTTGCTCTGACAAGAGGCACCCCAGATAGTATTAATGTTATTTTGTCCTCACATATAAACACCTGCAATCGACTTTTGTGAGTTTTTTGAGTTTTTCACTCCATTTCTTATAATGTTCAGTGAGAAGCGCTCGCCAAAAGATTAAATTTTTTAATCTTTTCGCTAGGGCTCACGTTTCCGCAGACTGGCAACGCTATGGAATTTTCTGGTATTTTTTTCGTCGATCAGGAGACCGAAGTGAAAAAAAGGCTCGACGAAAAGTGAACGCCAGCTGTTTGCCTCTCGCTCTCTCTCATGAGTGGCGTACGGTTTACGTCGAAGTGGATACTAGGCTTTAGGGTTCACCACAAGTTCATTTCAGGTGGTTGGCAACGCGATGTAATTTTCTGGTATTTTTTCGTCGATCTGAGTACGGATGTAAAAAAAAAGCCTGAGGAAAAGTGTACGCCAGCTGTTTGCCTCTCCCTCTCTCTCATGACTGACGAACAGTTTTCGTCGATCTGACTACTAGGCTTTAGCGCAAATAGCCCGAAGACTGTGGTCAATTACTAAACAAGTTATCTACCATATACTAATGGACAATTAGCCAAGGTACCAACCAATTATCGATATTACTTCTCGAAAGTCGATAACACTTCAAGCCGGTCTGGCATCCCTACGCAACAAGTTGAAAAATAGAAGAAGAAAAATAGAAACAGCGTCCGCAAATAGTGCGCAAAATAGTGTTTTTTTGTTAACGTGCAACAGTGACATTGTCAAACAGTAAAGACAGTGAATGCAAGTGATAGTGCGACCAAAAACTATTCAAATCATTTGACTACGCAACAAAAACAATTGACCAAGCCACACACAAAACACGCACACATGTGCAGGCACCCACTCGTTTAAGAGAGAAAGAGAGAGAGAGCGCGCGAGTGTGTGAGTGAGTGAGAGGCAAGAACTGTAACTGTAATATAATTGATAAAACAAAAAACGTCAGGAGCAGGAATCCAGTGAGAGAGAGAGGGAGAGAAGGACAGCAAAGCAGCAAAAGAGAGACAGAAGAAAAGGAGGAGGAATTGTTGTTGCTAAAAATAGCAACAAATAGACAGGCGAAGAAGAAGGCGAATAGGAGGAAGAAGTAAAAGCGTTGACGCAGGCAAAGTCGCAGCCTTTTGGTTTTGGCCACTTGGATTGGACTCTTATTTTGTCCCGTTAGCTAGCCTGCCCGCTCTCTCGGCCAACAACAACAAACAACAATCAAGAATAACAACAACAACGACGACGACGACGGACCAAAACTATGCTTTTGAAATTCACAAAAACCAGTGGCGCTGGACCCTCGTCCGTACCGCTACTGCCGCCCAACCCCTTGCCGGGCTCCAGTTCGCCGTCCATGCAGGCAACAACAACGTACGCGGCCCGCGGAACAGGTTCGTAACCCCCCACTCTCTTTTACCCCTCTCTTTACTCTCTTTTGTTTTGATTGCTACATTTGAGTACACCAAGTTATACACCTTGCCCACCGAATTTCGATCACTGAAAGCATAATTAATCGACTTTCTTAGTGTTGGATTGTTCACTTTTTTAAATCTTAGGAAACAGATTTATTTTTTTTTTAATTAATTGGAAAATTACGATGGTTATAAGTGATCTTTGTATTTTAGCCAACAGTTAGCACTTGCCTTTCATTAATTTTAATTTGGCCAAGAAATCTTCTAGTCCAATGCGTTTATATAAAATAATACCTTTAATACCTTAAGCTTTTATTATTAATCAACAGTATCATGTTTTTACGAAGTAGAAATAAACAGACTTTTACAGATTTTTGGGGACTTCTGTTTTTTTTTTTGTATGCTTTGACGTAAATAAATTGCAAACAAAAATAGATCGCCCAAAGGTGTACATATTTTGGTTAAAGTTATTGCCCCCTAGAAATATTTCTTGATTGATTTCCACCCCCTTACGCCTACGGCCCGCCACCCACTCTCGATAATTCTTCCATCGATATCAGCAAAAATTGAAAAAAAAAGAAAAATTTGGCCCCCACAAATATTGCGACATTGAAAGCCACGCACGTGTACCAACACACACTCCTATTAATGTTTACACGCACGCACTTACGGGGAGCCCTCAATAAAGGGAATCTTTTTGGGAAAACTGATTCCACAGAGGATTGAATTTGAATTCTTCAGCTGGTTTGAATCGTAAATAAATACAAATTAACCGTAGGCTTACTCTTGAATTGTTGAATTTGTGTTTGTCATCTCAGGTTTAGGCACAATAAAGGCCGTAAAAGACTATCAATTATAAATATAAATAATAATAAATTTATATTTGTTAATTTTACTGGCTCTAAGCTTTACCATTCGAGTATTCACTGTAATTTTACATGTGCTCAGTGTTTGGAGTGACGCTTTTTATTTCGATATTGTTTTAATTTTTATGCCATTTAATACAAGCTTAAGTTCCTTGGAAACAGTATGCGAATCCTTTTCAAGTTTTTCCTTTATCTGTTTGCTCGGTATTCAATTTCCCCACCCATTTTTCCGGCCCCACCACCCGCTCTTCTGTCTCATTTCATTCCGCTCTCTTGAGCCATTTGTTTGCTCCGCTTAATGCTCATATAATCAAATTGAATTGAATTGAATTGGATGTTTTTCCAACAAGGTCGCGGCTCCTTGGCAACCTGCTGGAAAACCCACTAAATGTAGTTTCCTTTCGCGGGGGTGTGTCTGTTGTAGAAGGAAAACCCACTCGAAAGGGAAATAGAGACAATAGAAAATTACAAAACCAAAATTAACAAAGTGTTGCACTTGTTGAGTAGCAAAACACAAATACAGTGGTTAGTAGTAAATTGAAAATCTAACAGATTAAACAAAAAAATAATCTCATGTATGTTTAAATTTAAACACGGATTGAACCTTAAAACATTTTATGAGACTTTCTTGTGTTTATATAAGCTTCTTATCAATTAAATTTTAATTAAACTCAAGTTTATGGAAATTCATTTCAGTCAGATTAAATATATGACTACAATATATAGATATATGCTATATGTACGTTTTGAGGATCTAAATAAAATGATTTAAACTATAAAAACACTTGAAAAACTATTGTATTCAGGCAATACAAATAATATAAATATAAGAATAATAATTTAAATGATAGGTGCTCCAAATCAGATAGGATAAGCACATAAAAGTAGGTCCTTAAAATTTTCCTACAAATTACAAATATAGGGAGCATATAAGCTTGAAAAACTATTGTATTCAGGCAATACAAATAATATAAATATAAGAATAATAATTTAAATGATTGGTGCTCCAAATCAGATAGGATAAGCACATAAAAGTAGGTCCTTAAAATTTTCCTACAAATTACAAATATAGGGAGCATATAAGCTTTGAATAAAATCTTTGAAAAATTCCTAATTTATGCAAATTTAAAATATGGAAAGGACAATGATTCTGCTTAGCGACCGACCACTGTAAGCACGTATCCCAGCTGTCCATGGTGCATTCGGTTTATTTATGTCCAGCTGCGAAGCCTTAGGATGCTGCCTGTAAATTAAGTGGACTTTGTTCCTTCCTCGACATTTTCCCGCCGTTTGTCTGTCTGTTAATTGCATCGAAAGTCTCGTGACTTGACTTAGTCAGCAATTGTTTATTGGTTTAATTTAATACAATTTTCTGCCCTCTA